CCCCTTGGAGTTATCAAAAACATCTCCTGCATCTTCAGAGTTGTTTGAAGTTTCAGGATGCTTAACTTGGAAAGCCAAGAGTAGGAGGGTGAGGGGTCACCCCATTATTGAACAAGCAGTTTCATAATCCCACCTTCATGGATCATGGAGCCCTAAGGAGTGCTGGAGGAGAGAAGGCAGCTGAGGTACTGGTTCCATGGTTTATATGGTGCTTCCTATATCTTTATTGTCTACTGTGTGCCAGGTGCGTGTACAGTAAAGAATGGGATCAGGTTCCTGCCTTACAGAGTTGCATAGACCTGGAGCAAGGTCATTAGAGACACCCTGTGAGGACACTGAAGTGGGTTATTGAATCAGCAGAGTCCAGCCAACAGCACCTGTGGAAATGGAGATGAAAGCCACCATGTAACCTCAGCCAGAGAAGGCACCACATCTGGAATAATGCCCCTCACACTTTTAGGGAAGACTTTTCCCTGCAGATGACCAGTCACTCTGGCCTGTGGTCAACCCCACCAGCACACCTCAGAGGATGGCCTCCATCTTCCTTTGTAAGTATTGATAGGAACTCCAACCCTGACACTCTATGGTCAGAAGAGTAAAGAACAGGACACTGAATTTGGAGAAGAGAAAGTTAAATGCTAGAAAATCTTGATTTTGGAGGGGACAGAAGTCTAATGAGCATCTATACTGACTACAGTCATTCATTGTTTACCTGTTTTATGGTGGATGTAGGTACAAACAGCAATCTTCCTTGTTTTTCATAAAAATCCTGAAAGGGAGGCACTGTTCTCTTCATTTTACAGAAGAAGCTAGCAATATTCAGAGACAGAATGGATTCTGCAGGAAGTCAAAGAGATCCATCTGATGGGGGAGGGGAGGGGTGTCGAGACGCTGGGAATGGACCCCAGAAGCATTGCATGTGCTGGATAAGCATTCTGCAACTGAGCTGCAACCTCAGCTCCTGGACCCATCTGATTCTAAGGCTGCATCCTTTATACTTCACTGCCCTGTCTCTCCTTGTTAGGCTTCAACTAAAGGCATAATGTCCTCAGCAGCATGCCAGGCTGTATTTGGCAGCCCTTGAAAATTCAAACCTAGCCACAACAGTCATCTGCACCAACTTGTTACTCTCATCAGAAGAAGGCTATCCAGCGTGGACATTCAAGTCTAGGAATTTAGTGTTTTCCCACGGAGCTTTCTAAAGAGTATGTCCGACTGTAAGAAATACTCAGTCGCGCAATGCATATGCTTGCCTTAGCTATCTGGGCCTCTTTTGTTGTAGCTGCTCTTACAGTGGAGGGGAGTTAATGCCAGCTACTGTTTCCTTACAGAGGAAAACAGCCCTTTGCTCTTGCCATTTCCACCTGCTCAGCCTTTGGCTGAAGCCTCTCGGTCTTCAGCGATACAACCTGCTGGTGAAATGCACGCACTGGGGGAGATCCCAGGAGAAAACAATTGCCAAGCGTTTTCCACACCGCTAGCTCCTCCTAGAACTAATGAACCCGTGGCCTGTGAGAAAGAAGGCTGATATAGTTGAAGCTCACTGGGAATGTAGATTAGTTACCGACGGCCCCCTCCCTGGGCTGAGACTCACTCCCCTAGACAGAGCCAGACTGTCTGTTCTCTTCCCATCATAGCCAGAATTCATCCCTGCCTTCACAGTCAACCATTCTGTTGGATCCTCTTCAGTTGGTATGTCTGACACCTCAGTATCAAGAGGGCTGTCTTTTCATCTATGTCTCTATATCAAAACCCAGTGAAAAAATTAATTCGAACTGGAGGGAAGCAAGGAGTACCAATGAAAAGTGTTCAGTTGGTACTAGATGGAACCAGCCTCATCTAGTGACTCTAATACCATCCTCCATAGTCCCTCGGTGATTTCATCTCCCAGAGTGTGAGGAGGGGTGCATTTTGGGTACTATATGGTAACTCTAAGAAATTTCAGGCTCTTTGCATTTTTATGTTCATAATCTCAGGGGAGAAATATTTCTCTGTACTTTCCTAGTAACCACTTCAATTGTTTACTCACTCATTTTATGATAGATGCAGAAATGACCAGCCATATCGTTTTCCACATGAACCCTGGGGTGAGGTACTATTATCCTCATTTTGCAAATGAGACCAGCAATATTGTGATCAGATGCAATAAGAAATGAAAGCCATTCAGACTGGTGACTCATCATCTAGGTGAGCTGGGTGAACTCTGCAGTAAATGGCCAACCCTGAGTCACAGGTCTCATCCTGAAGACTGCAGACATTAAGTGACTTCAGTGATTGGCTTTAATTATCAACCTGACACAGTCTAGAATCACCTAAAGTCACAGGGAGTGGGGCATTATCTAGATTAAGTTGGTCT